TTGAGATGGGTAAAGGTTTGAGACAAGGTGATCCTCTATCTCCTTTTCTCTTTTTGATGATTGCAGAGGGGTTACAAGGTCTGGTACAGAGAGCAATAAAGGAGGGAATGTTGCATGGGATTGAGATTGGAAAGAAAGGTTTGTCTATGTCGTTGCTCCAGTTTGCTGATGATACGATTATTATGGGCAGAGCGGATACTGAGAATATACGCATGGTGAAGGACATCCTAAAATGGTTTGAGCTTATGTCCGGATTGAGGATTAACTTTAGCAAGAGCAATGTTTTTGGTTATAATGTGTCGGAGAAATGGCTTAAAGGTTCAGCGGGTATGTTACATTGTAGGGTTGGTAAAGCACCTTTTCTGTATCTGGGATTGCCTGTTGACGGAAAATTTGGGAACAAGAAATTATGGGAGCTGGTTGTAAATAAATTCCGTGCCAAACTCATTGTCTGGAAGGCCGCTACTCTTTCCTTTGGAGGCCGCCTCATCTTGCTAAATTCGGTACTCTCTGCACTACCTTTATTTTATATGTTTTTATATTTATTACCAAAATCTGTGCTTGAGGAGTTGATTAGAATTCAAAGGAATTTTTTATGGGGCGGGACAAGGACAAATAAGAAGATTTCTTGGGTTAAATGGGAAAATGTGTGTCGTGCTAAAGCCAAGGGGGGTCTTGGGGTGCCAGATTTACAGAGAAAAAATTGGGCAATGCTAGGAAAGTGGTGGTATAGGTTAGGTGACGGGGTCGAGAGTTTATGGAAAAAGGTGGTGAGGGAGAAATATTATGGTGGTACGGAGGAAGTCGATATTACTTCGATTGAGGGTTTAAGGGTGTCAAAGCTTTGGAGGGACATTATTAGGATAGGGGGTCTGTCTCTCAAACTTAGGATCATGCTAGTTGAGGGCTTCAAGTGGGAGGTGGGTGAAGGAAATAAAGTGGATTTTTGGACGGATAGGTGGGTTGGAGATAAAAGTCTTAGGGATCTTTTTCCAAGGTTATTTGCATTATCTATAAAGAAGGAGGGCAAAGTTTCTGATATGGGGACTTGGGAATAGGGTAGATGGCGGTGGAGGGTGGAGTGGAGGAGGGGCACAATAGGGAGAGAGAAAGATGAGGAGGAGTTGCTGGAGAAGGTGCTGGAGGGGGTCAAAATAAAGAAGGGGGCTGGGGATGTTTGGAAATGGGTCCATGTGATGGATGGCCAATATGGGGTGAAGCTAGCGTATGATTTTTTAGCTTCTACGGAGAGGGTTTTGGAGGACCAGATGTGCAAACTAATAGGCTGCAGGTTGGTGCCCTCCAAAGTGGCTTTTTTTGGGTGGCGATTGTGTTTAGATAGACTCCCAACTAAGAATAACTTGCAAAAACGAGGGATATTGTTGCAGGAGGGGGTATTTTGTGAATACTGTAATGAGAAGGTGGAGGATGTTAATCATTTATTTTGCTTATGTTATAATGCGTGGTTAGCTTGGACTCAGGTGTTGAGTTGGTGGGGATTGGAGTCTGTGCTGCCCAATACAGTTGTGGGATTGGCAGAATTATTCATAGGAGGATTGGGCAAAATAGTTGGGAAAGAGATGGGATCATGTATTTTTCTAGTGGTCGCCTGGTATTTATGGTATAGACGGAATGTTCAAGTGTTTCGAAAAGATGAAGGAATACCAGAAAACCTGCTGGAAAGGATGCAAGTTAAGACCTTTTTATGGGTTAAATCCAAAGTCAATGGCTGTGTTTTTTCCTTCTATGAATGGCAATTCTGTCCTATGGAGTGTGCTATGTCTGTCAAAAACCATAAAAGGATGAGGAAGCAATTCTACAAAGCCGTCGCGTCTTCTAGTTGATGGATAGGCGGAGCAGTTGTGTCTTCAAATGTTTAGTTTGGCCACCTGACGCTTTTTGTGTATATATTGTAGTTGTTCAGCTGTGCCTTTTTCTGGTTAATTGGAGAGTGGCTCTCCTCTGTTGTGGTTTCCAATTTTTGTATATGGGCAGGAGCACCCCTTGTGCTTCATTAAATTAAAATTTCTTTGGCTGATCAAAAAAAAAAAAAATCTCAGCCCCTGCAGTATAAGCTAGAATTGGATCCAGCCCCCCTTCAACGGGCTGACCCATAGATGATAAGTCCCAGATTAATGCCTGAGAATCATCCCCAGCAGTGCATATGTGGCAAGAGCTGTGTGGGGCCCAGGCAATGGCGTTGACACTGGCCTGATGCCTCTGCAACTCCACAACAGGAAGTGTTGGGAAGCGAATATCTAGCACGACGACCTTGGCACTGTCCATGATGATCGTGGCCATGTACTTGGGGTCTTGCTTGTTCCATCCCAAGCGGACCAGCGGCGTATCAGGTTCAGAGCTTTCATAAATGATTGTGGAATGCTCCTTGTCACGAAGGTCAAAAACCCTAACAGAGCCATCAGTAGAGACAGAGGTGAAAACGCCCACACCACCCCAGGTAATAACGTAAACCTCTTTGTCATGGGCAATGAGCTGGGTGTCGACAGTCTCACGTTCAATGTCCCAGATGGTGCAGGTGGTGTCAATGGAGGAGGTGCCGATCCGCTTGGGCTCAGCTTCATTCCAGTCGAAGGAGGTAAGAGGACCGCAAAAC